CATATTTTTTAAATTCACAATTATAAACTGAGAATGAAGAATCCACTTGATTTAAAGCACATAATTATACTGGCCAGGGGTGGCGTTGTGTCCATGGAGATAATCTAAGAACATCAGTAAAGCAAGCTCTGCAAGGGAGAGTTAAATAGTTAAATAGTTTTTATCAGACCAACCAGGGTTGGAAAAGATAGGGGCATGTTTAGCTCTTCTCATCTGATTCTCCCAGTATACTAGTTGGTCTAATACAAGCTATTATCTCCCCGTGTAAGCTTTGTCTGATTATTTAAATCAGTCAAACAAAGACAGGTACCTACTTAAAACTCATTATTAAGTCGAATGAGCATTTAGGGGGTTTTGCCACCCACAGATGCCAAAGCTAATATCCAGCAGAGACATGTCATTCATTAGTATAAAACCTGATACCAAAGAGATGTGTTGTGTGCTTTCAATTAACAGATGAAATGTAAAAAAAAGTTGCTTCAGTGGAATTAACAAAACAGGAAAAAAAAAAATCAAGCATTATTATCTATAATAACAGCTAATACTACATTATTAAAGGTTATTATTAAGATAGAACATTCTAACAAAAGTCCTCAAACTGATTTTTAAAAGGAATATATGATACATTCCAAATTTGAAAACATTACTAAACTCTAAAACTTTCCTCCAACAAATGTTCTTTTTCATATAGGATATAGCTTTAAGGTTTCCAAAACTACGTGAGGACACAAAGAAAACCATCAACAGCTATCTCTTTTGTCCTGACATTTAGTTAAAAGAATTAAATAGTCTTTAATTTTAAAAGGATCTCTACATTGAAAGAGTTTTCAAAGACCATGACAATTGTTTGCCAAAGATCTTATGTCTCTCATGATGCTATTCTGCCTTATTTTTAAGCACAGAGTAATACCAAAAGTACAAGTGTCACAAAGATTTTCAGGAAAAACAACAGCTTTGAATGTTCTCCTTGCCAAGGAGGAATCTAAATTTGTTGACTTCAAGGGAATATGGCAAGGGTCCTCCATTTTTACAGACCTCAAGAAAAATTAAAACATGTGGGTCATTTCAACAAATGACCTACAGTTGAAAGTGTTATGGAATATGGTTCCAAAATTGTTAAAAAGGATTATCTGTTTAATGTAATTTTTTTACAAAGACAGTGTCCTAGTCTCTGCAGTCTCACAAATTCACCTTTAATGTGTTTATAAATCTCTAAACAATGTCTTTGCCAGGAACGAATCATGCAAGAGAATCAGAGCAGTGGCACTTAGCTACAGGGAAGAAAAGTAGGAAGAAAGAAGTGATCATGCTCAGAAATTTAAATAATCCTAAATCATGGCAAGTGTCATTTAGCTTAAGCTACACCTTGCAAATATGAACCAACAAACATGCTATAAAGTAAAATTGATGGAAATTACAGAATTTTAACATGGCTATTAATGGACACTATTTCATAACGACAAATGAGCCACATAAGAAAATGTATGAGTACACACAAAATAGGAATCTGTTGTTAATAAAACCAGATTTCTTGTAATCTAATAAAAAGTTCTAAATGCATTTCTTGTGAAAACAACGTAATTAAGGTATATACCAGACATTCTGATTTTCTGAATGCAGTTCCAACTTACAAGATAGTCATATTGAGCCCTGATGTGAACAATCACAATTGCCACAGTTCAGAGATAAAATTGCGTGCTAGATGAGACATTTTCTGTACCATAGTAATAGTATAACTGCACCCACTAATTTTGCACATCAGACCTAATTCTAACCTGATAAGAATATTGTCTGTAAATGTACAGCCAGCCATAATCTAACACTTTAAAAGTGAAATATTTTCTTCCAATCATTTGTTTTATTTATTAAACCAATATATATTAATATGCTTTATTCTTGCATAGATTAAAAAAAAAAACCAGAAACTGAAAAGAAATCACGCCACCTTATGGCAGAAGACAGAAGAACCAACGGCTGGTATTTCACACACCACAGCTCCAAGGGCGAGAGGAGGAAGTTCATACGTTCACAAAAGATCCATATACAGCCTTCTTCAGACCCATAAGCAAATGAAAAGTGTTCAGCATATGCCCATAAAAGAAACTGCACGGAACCTACTTATACTGCTCAATTTAGAAGATTAAGTT